TTCAGGGTTTTTTTGGGAGAGGTTCTTTCAGAGTTCTTTTAGGGGGTTTTCTGAGGTTCTTTTAGGGTTCTCTTAGGGTTCTTTGCTGGGTTCTTTCAGGGTTCTCTTAAAGTTCAAGGTTCTTTGGGAAGCTCTTTCAGCATTCTTTTACGATTTTTTTGGAGGGTCTTTTATGTGTCTTGAGGAGGTTCTTTTAAGGTTCCTTGGGAGGCTCTTTTAGGGTAATCTTAGGGTTCTTTGCCAGGTTATTTCAGGGTTCTCTCAGGCTTCTTTTCAAGGTTCTTTGGGAAGTTCTTTCAGGGTTCTTTTAGGATTTTTTTAGCTTCTTTGGGAAGGTTTTTTTAAGGTGATCTTTGGGTTCTTTGCAAGGTTCTTCAGGAGGTTCTTTCAGGGTTCTTTTAGGGCTTTTTAGAGGTTCTTTTTAGAGGTCCTTTAAGAGTTCTTTAAGTGTTTGGGAGGTTCTTTGAGAGTTCTTTTAGGGGGTTTTATGAGGTTCTTTTAATCTTCTGAGGGAGGTTCTCTTGAGGTTCTGTGGGAGTTTCTTTTAGTGTTGTCTTGGGGTTCTTTTCGAGGTTCTTTTAGTGTTGTTTTGGGGTTCTTTTCAAGGTTCTTTGGAAAGTTCTTTCAAGGTTCTTTTAGGTTTCTTGGGGAGGTTCTTTTAAGGTTCCTTGGGAGGTTCTTTTAGGGTGACCTTGGGGTTCTTTGCAAGGGTTCTTCGGGAGGTTCTTTTAGGAATTCTTAGGGTTCTTCACCAGGTTCTTTCAGGGTTGTCTTTTCAAGGTTCTTTGGGAAGTTCTTTCAGGCTTCTTTTAGGGGTCTTTTAGGTTCCTTGGGGAGGTTCTTTGGGAGGTTCTTTTTGAGTTCTTTGGGAGGTTCTTTTTGAGTTCTTTGGGAGGTTCTTTTCGAGTTCTTTGGGAGGTTCTTTTCAAGTTCTTTGGGAGGTTCTTTTCAGGTTCTTTGGGAGGTTCTTTTCAGGTTCTTTGGGAGGTTCTTTTCAGGTTCTTTGGGAGGTTCTTTTCAGGTTCTGTGAGGGTTCTTTGGGAGGTTCTGTGAGGGTTCTTTGGGAGGTTCTCTGAGGGTTCTTTGGGAGGTTCTTTTCAGGTTCTTTTTGGGTTCTCTGGGGTTTCTTTGGCAGGTTCTTTGGGAGGTTGTCTGAGGGTTCTTTGGGAGGTTCTCTGAGAGTTCTTTGGGAGGTTCTCTGAGGGTTCTTTGGGAGGTTCTTTTCAGGTTCTTTGGGAGGTTCTTTTCAGGTTCTGTGAGAGTTCTTTGGGAGGTTCTTTTTGGGTTCTTTGGGAGATTCTCTGAGGGTTCTTTGGGAGGTTCTTTCCTCCGAGGGTTCTTCAGGAGCTCGTGGCCCCCCCGCTAACCCCGTTTTTACCCCCCCAGTCGTCAGCCAAGAGCCTGCGGGTGACGATCGGGGAGGCGTTCGAGCGGCTGCACCGGCTGCTGCGGGAGCGCCAGAAGGCCATGCTGGAGGAGCTGGAGGCCGACACGGCGCGGACGCTCTCGGACATCGAGCACAAGATCCAGCGCTACAGCCACCAGCTGCGCAAGGTGCAGGAGGGCACCCAGATCCTGCAGGAGCGCCTGGCAGAGGCCGACAAACACGTCTTCCTGGCTGGAGTGGCCTCCCTGTCCGAGAGGTGGGTGCCACGGGGGCACTGGGGGCACAGTGAGGGCTCACTGGTGTCACTGGGGTGACACTGGGGTGACACTGGGGACACTGTCTGTGCCGTGCAGGTTGAAGGGGAAGATCCACGAGACCAACCTGACCTACGAGGACTTCCCCACCTCCAAGTACATGGGCCCCCTGCAGTTCACCATCTGGAAATCCCTCTTCCAGGACATCCATCCCGGTGAGGGCACGGCAGGGAGCGGGGACAGGGAAGGGGTGGCACTGGGCAGGGGTGGGGACACGGCAGGAAGGGACAGGAGTGGGAATGTCACTGGTGAGGGACAGGGGCATACTGGAGAGGGATGGGGATGGGGATGTTACTGGTGAGGGATGGGGACACACCAGTGAAGGACAGGGACATACTGGAGAGGGATGGGGATGGGGACACACCAGTGAGGGACAGGGGCATACTGGAGGGGGATGGGGATGGGGACACACCAGTGAGGGACAGGGGCATACTGGAGAGGGATGGGGATGTCACTGGTGAGGGATGGGGACACACCAGTGAGGGACGGGGCATCCCTGATGAGGGACGGGAACACACCAGGGAGGGATGGGGATGTCACTGGTGAGGGATGGGGACACACCAGTGAGGAACAGGGGCATCCCTGATGAGGGACAGGAACACACCAGGGAGGGATGGGGATGTCACTGGTGAGGGGTTGGGGACCCACCAGGGCGGCCCAGTGCCACACTGCTGAGGGATCTGAGGGCTGGCAGCCCCCATGACCCGCCCCGTGGTCCCCACACCGTGGGGGCAGAGCCGGCCACGCTGACCCCGTGCCCCGCCCCGCAGTGCCCGCCGCGCTGACCCTGGACCCGGGCACCGCCCACCACCGGCTCATCCTGTCGGACGACTGCACCATCGTGGCCTACGGGAACCTGCACCCGCAGCCGCTGCAGGACTCGCCCAAGCGCTTCGACGTGGAGGTGTCGGTGCTGGGCGCGCAGGCCTTCGGCGCCGGCGTGCACTACTGGGAGGTGGTGGTGTCCGAGAAGACCCAGTGGGTGCTGGGCCTGGCGCACGAGGCCGTGAGCCGCAAGGGCAGCATCCAGATCCTGCCCAGCCGCGGCTTCTACTGCATCGTGATGCACGACGGCAACCAGTACAGCGCCTGCACCGAGCCCTGGACGCGGCTCAACGTCAAGGGCAAGCTGGAGAAGGTGGGCGTCTTCCTGGACTACGACAAGGGGCTGCTCATCTTCTACAACGCCGACGACATGTCCTGGCTCTACACCTTCCGGGAGAGGTTTCCCGGGAAGCTCTGCTCCTACTTCAGCCCCGGGCAGAGCCACGCCAACGGCAAGAACGTGCAGCCGCTGCGCATCAACACCGTCCGCATCTGAGGGATCTCGGGGGGTGGGGGGGTTGGGGGGTCCGTGCCCCTCAGAGGGGTGGTCGGGCCACCCCAGGGACTGGTCCCGGCACAGCGGCCCGGCCTGTGCTTCCAGGGAATCCCGGTGTGGGGGCTGGGATGTGGCAATAAAGGATTTGGAGAGAAGGGAGGTGGTGGAGGGACCGGGGTGGGGGGAGGGCCATGCTGTGCTGGGGGGGTCTCTCACTGTGGTGGGGGGCACCGTGGGGTGTCACAACAGGGCCAGGGGCACTGTGGGGTGCCATGCCATGAGTGCCACACCCGTGGGGGGTCACAGTGCCCTGGGGTGCGTCCTGAGCCGTGCCAGGGGTGCAGCACCGTGCCCTGGGACGCTGCTGTGCCATGTGTGTCATCCTCTGCTGGGCTGTCCTGGAACGGGGACAGGGACAGGTCCATGTAGGGTCTCTGTATCCACGTAGGGTTCCCTTTATCCATATAGGGTCTGTGTATCTATGTAGGGTTCCACATGTCCACGTAGGGGTCCATGTATCCATACAGAGCTCCCTATATCCATGGAGGGTCCCTGTATCCATGTGGGGTATCCATGGATGTGTATCTATGTAGGGTTCCCTATAGCCATGTAGGGGTCTCTGTAGGGTTCCCTGTGTCCCTATAGGGGTCCCTATACCCCTGTAGGGTCTGTTTGAGTTCTCTGGGCTGTGTGTGGGTATGGGGGCTATGGGGGGGTGTCTGGGGATCTATAGGGGGTGGGCTCTATGGGGTGGGTCTGTCCAGGGGGGTGGACACAGAGGGGCTGTGAGCTATAGGGTGGGATATATAAGGGATGTGGTGTATAGGGGGGTGAGATATAGGGGGTGATCTATACAGGGACTGTGATATACAGAGATGGGCTCTATAGGGTAAGTCTATCCAGGGGGGTCTGATATATAGGGGATGTGATATATAGAGGTGTGATATATAGGGGGTCTGATACATAGGATATGTGATGTATGAGGGGTGTGATATATAGGGGATGTGATATATAGGAATGTAAGATTTAGGGGGTGATCTGTACAGGACTGTGATATTTAGAGGTGGGATCTATAGGGTAAGTTTATCCAGGGGGGCTGATATATAGGGGTGAGATACATAAGGGGTGTGATGTAGAAGGGGATGTGGTATATAGGGATGTGATATATGGGATGTAGGAGCTGGGCTGCATGGGGGTTGTGGTATGGAGGGGTTATATGTAGGAGTGGGCTATAGGGGATGTGATGTGTAGGGAGTAGGCTATATGGGGTATTGTGTATAGGGGTTGGGCTGTATGGGGTGGGCTATAGGGAGTATAATGTATAGGGACTGGGATATATAGGGGTTATGGTATATGGGGAGATACATAGGGGGCTGTAGACAGGTGATACATAGGGGGTGATGTGTAGGGGATGGGCTATATAGGGGACATGGTATAATGGGGGAGATATATGGGGTCAGCTATACAGGGGATGGGGCTGTATGGGGGGATATATAGGGCATGGCTATAGGGGGGAGGGATATATGGGGTGAACTATAGAGGGGTGTGGTGTATGGGGGAAGGTATATAGGGGGTGGTCTGTACACGGGTGGGTTTGTATGAGATGATGGGGGGGCTGTGCAGTGGGGGGGTGATATAGGGGTGGGCTCTATGGGAGAGGGATATAGATGGGGTGATACGTAAGGGGGAGCTGTACAGGTGGTGGGTGGGATATCCCAGCACTGGAGAGGGGGGTTGGCTATAGGGGAAGTGGGGACACCGTTAGGATCAGTGTTTCTGTAGGGCTCTGGTGTCACTGATGGGTCACTGGGGCTGTAGGGTCAGTGTTTCTGTAGGACAGTGGGTCACAGTGGGGTCACAGGTGTCACTGTCACTGGTGTCGCTGTCCCCACTGTCCTCGGCCCCCGCGGTTCCGCTCTCTCCGCCAGGGGGCGCTGTCCCCGCCCCTCCCGGCGCGCGCGCGCAGGGCGGGCAATCGATCGCCGAGCGGCGGGAGGGGCCCCGCCGCCATCTTGCCCCGGGAGCGGCCCGGCCGGTACCGGAGAGTGGGAGAGGCAGGGGGTTTGGGGAGGGCTCGGGGGCCGTGAGGGTGTTTGGCGGGCCTGCAGGTTGTCAGGGGCCACGGGGGCTGCGGTGGAGGGGTGGCTGTCGGGCGTGCTGTGGGATATGAGGGGCTGCGGGTTGGCACAGAGGGTTGTGGGGCTGAAAGGGGGCGAGGGTTTATGAGGGGATGGGGGGGCCTGGGGGAGTTATAGGAGGTCTTGAGGGGCTATGGGGTGGGGTCTGTGTGGGCTAGGGGGCTCTGGGAGATTGTGGAGTAATTGGGTGGGGGAGAGATGGGGCAGCTGAGGGGGCCGAGCTGGGGAATTTGGGGGGCTCAGGATGTCTGGGGGGTGCCACCCTGGAGGGGTTTGAGGGTCTCCTCTGAGGGTTTGGGGGTCTCCCATAGGGCTCAGGGTGTCAGTGGGGGTTGAGGGTCTCCCGTGGGGTCAGCGTGGGTGTGAGAGGGGGTGTCACTTGTGGGGCTCGGGATGTCTGTGGGGTTTTGGGGGTCTCCTGTGGGGCTCAGGATGTCTGTGGGGGGACACTGGGAGTTTGGGGTTTCCGGGGGAGCTCAGGATGTCAGTGAAGGTTTGGAGGGGTTACCTGTGGGGGTTTGGGGGGTCTCCCATTGTGCTTGGGATGCCAGTGGAAGTTTGGGGTGTCCCGTGGGGGGGTGTTGGGGATCTCCTGAGGGGCTCAGGATGTCAGAGCTGCAGCCTGGGGGGTTCCCTGTCCGGGGGGGCTCCTGAGGGCCGGGCCGGGCTGGGGGCTCTGGGGGGCCGGGCCGGGTTGGGGGCTCTGGAGGTGCTGGGCCGGGCTGGGGGCTCCGGGGTGCCGCTGCCGGGGGTCCCTGTGTGACCCCCCCCCGTGGATCCCAGCCATGGATCCGGGCGCGGGGCCGCGCAAGGAGCGGCCGAAGGCGCGGGAGGCGCCGGCGCGGCTGGAAAAGGCCAAGCAGAGATCGGCACAGCAAGAGCTCAAACAGCGCCAGAGGGCCGAGGTGCGACCGGGAACGGCACCGGGAATGCGAGAGGGACCGGGAATGCGACCAGGAATTTGGGGCCAGGACTGGGAGTGGGGGACAGGAAAAGCAGCCCAACCCGGGCCAGGCCCCCTTTTTTCCATCCCTCCTTTTCCATCCCTCCTTTCCCGATCCCAGATCTACGCCCTGAACCGCGTGATGACGGAGCTGGAGCAGCAGCAGTTTGACTCCTTCTGCAAACAGATGCAGGGAGGGGGGGAGTGACCCCCGGGACCCCCCACGACCCCCTGGGACCCCTGACCCCTTTTGTACCCCTGTATTTATTGTCCCATCTTCGTTTTGTACCAATAAAATTCGGCTGTTCCGCCACACCGGGATCCAGGGGATGGGGGAGGCCTTATCCCAGCATTCCAGCTCCCTGACCCCATCCTGACATTCCCAGCCAAGGGAAAGGTCCTGCCATAGTCCCATCCTGACATTCCAAGTCCCTGCCCAGGGAAGGGTCCTGTTCTGACTCCATCCCATTGTTCCTGCCCTGGCTCCACTCTGGCATTCCCAACCCAGAGAAGGGTCTTGTTTTGGCCCCATCCCAACATTCCTTGCCTTGGCCCCACCCTGACATTCCTGCCCTGGCCCCATCCCAGTGTTATTCCCTGCCCAGGGAAAGGTCCTGCCCCAGCCTCATCCCGACATTCCAATTGTAATTCTTTGCCTAGAAAGGGTCCTGCCCCAACCCCATCCCCAGATTCCTGCCCTGCTTCCATCCTGACATTCCCTGCCCTGGAAAAGCTCCTTCCCCAACCCCATCCCCAGATTCCTGCCCTGCTTCCATCCTGACATTCCCTGTCCTGGAAAAGCTCCTTCCCCAGCCCCATCCCTGCATTCCCTGTCCTGGCCTCATCCCAACATTCCCTGCCCAGGATAAGGCCCTGCCCTGACCCCATCCTTACATTCCTACCACAGTCCCATCCCAACATTCTAATTCCCTGCCCAGGAAAAGTTCCTGTCCTGGCCCCATCCCGATATTCCCTGCCCAGGGAAGGGTCTTGTTCTGACTCCATCCTGTCATTCCTGTCCCGGCCTCATGCCCACATTCCCTGCCCTGGCCCCATCCCAACATTCCCAGCTGAGAGGAAGGTTCCTACCCTCCCAGAGCCGGGGTTTTCCCAGGATTTCTCCCAGAGGACCCCTCTCGCAGCTGCTGGATCCTCCCAGGGGATCCCAAGTGTTTCTCCAGGTCCAACCTTCGCTTCCTTCCTCCTCCCACACCCTCCAGCAGCCTCCGGCTTTCCAGAGGCTTGGGATCAAATCCTGCTTCCCCCTTTCCCATCTCCTTCTTTTCCCCAAAGGATTTTGAGTTCTCTTGTGAGGTCTATCCCTAAATCCCCTGTTTCCAAGGGTTGGTGGGGGCAATCCCTGAAATTCCCTGTTTCCCAAGGCATTGGGAGTCTGTTGTGGGGTTGATCCCTAAATTCCTTGTTTCCCAAGGGTTTAGAGGTCTCCTGTGTGGAGTTTGATCTTTAAATTTCCCATTTCCCCAGCATTTGTGGGTCTCTCGTGGGGTTGGTCCCTAAAATTCCCTGTTTCCCCAGGGTTTGTGGGATCCTTGTGGGGGCAGTCCCTGAAACAAGGCTTTGTGTGGGCAATCCCTAAACTCCCCGTGCCCCAAAGGTTTGTGGGGTTGATCCCTAAAACCCCATTCCCAAGGCTTTGCGTGGGCAATCCCCAAACTCCCTGTGCCCCAAAGGTTTGTGGGGTTGATCCCTAAAACCCCATTCCCAAGGCTTTGCGTGGGCAATCCCCAAACTCCCTGTGCCCCAAAGGTTTGTGGGGTTGATCCCTAAAATCCCATTTCCAAGGCTTTGTGGGAGCAATCCCTAAACTCCCCATGTCCCAAAGGCTTGGGAGGTTGATCCCTAAAACCCCATTCCCAAGGCTTTGCGTGGGCAATCCCCAAACTCCCCGTTCCCCACACGTCCCCCGCTCCCTGCCGCAGCTCCGGGGTGGGTTTGGGGTCCCCTCCCCCTCCCCACCCGACCCTTTCCCCCCACCCCCCGACACCAAAGGCACAGGAAGGCCGAGTTAAGCCGAGGCTTTACTGCTGTCTGGGCGGGGCTCAAGCCTTGCAGCTCCACAGGGCGGAGGGGAACGCGATGTAGGACACGGCCCAGGCCAGGCAATAAACGGCGGCCACCGGCGCCGGCGCCAGCAGCACCGCCAGCACCCCTGCGGAGAGACAGTCCTGGGCATCTGCACTGCCCTGCCCGGCCCTGCCCGGCCAGGAAGGGCTATCCCAGCCCAGGAAGGGCTCCATCCCGGCCTTACCTCCGGCATAAACCACCTTCTTCCAGCGCTGGGACTCGAGCACGCGGTCGTGGGGGTAGGAGCCGCAGTCGGCCATGGCCACGATCATCGCCGCCGCCGCCACGCGCAGCAGCGCCACGTGGCCCCCCGACAGCACGAAGGTGCTGGCCAGCAGGGCCGAGGGGTAGGGGCAGGGCAGGCCCCTGTAGGTGAAGGGGATCCCTGGAGAGGGGGGAGCCACGGTTTCAGGTTGGGGGAAAAACTCAAAAAAAAAACCCTCCTCCGTTTCGCCATTTTCTTCTCCCGCCCATTGAGGCTGGAGCAGAGCCCGGCCCCAGCTTGGCCACAGAGCAAAAAAATGGGGTGATCCCACTTTTCAGCCTCTCTTTTCACCCCATTTCCCGCCTTTTCTAGAAAAATCCAGGGTGTCCCCCAATCTTCAGTCCCCTTTTTCAGCCCATTGGCTCCTTTTTGACCCCTATTTTCTCCTTCTGCCACCTATTGAGGCCGGAGCAGAGCCAGGCCCCAGCTTGGCCACAGAGAGAACGTTCTATCCCCATTTTTCCCCATCTTTCCCTGTTTTCCAGAAAAAACAGGGAACCTCCCACTTCTCACCCCCCCTTTCCACCACATTTCCCTCTTTTCCATCCCATTTGAACCCAATTTCCTGCTTTTCCCCTCACCTATTGAGGCCGGAGCAGATCCCAACCCCCAGCTTGGTCGCCAGCGTGACCTCATTTTCCATCCCGTTTTTTCCCCCTATTTCCCCTTTTTCCAAGCAAAACCACCGTGACCTCCACTTTTTCTCCCCATTTCTCCCTTTTTGACCCAACTTCCCCATTTTTTAACCCCATTCTCCTCTTTTCCCCCCACCTTTTGAAGGCAAAACAGCTCCCAGCCCCCAGCTCGGCCACCAGCGCGACCTCATTTCCATCCCGTTTTTTTGCCCTATTTCACCTTTTTTTTGCAGAAAAACCACCGAGACCTCCCCTTTTTCCCCCATTTCCCCCTTTTTTCCCCTTTTCCCCCTCCTGTGAGCCCCCAGGGCTGCCCTTACCGCTGGAGAAGAAGCAGAGCCGGGCGAACACGGCCAGGACGTAGGCGAGGCTCAGCAGCCCCCCCAGCACCCCGTGCGGCTGCAGCAGCAGGGCCGTGCCCAGCCCGAAGGTGGTGAAATCCGCGAAATCATCCAGCTTGGCACCTGCAGGGCAGCGAGGGGCAGGTGCCAGGAGAGCCCCGGGCACGGGGGACCCCCGGGCTGCCCCCCAAGGGCCGAGGGGTCACACTCACCCAGCGCCGAGCAGGCGTTGAGCTGCCGCGCCACGGCCCCATCGGCCAAATCCAGCAGGAATCCCAGCAGGAGCAGCCAGCAGGAGAGCTGGTACTGCCTGGGGAGGGGGAACACAGGGGGGGAACCCCACTTTGCAGCCTCCTTTGCACCCATTTCCACTTTTTTTTTTGCCCCTTTTCCCCTCCAGTCTTTGGAGGCTGGAGCAGAGCTCGACCACCAGGTTGGGCACAGAGTAAAACTGGGGTGACCCCTCTTTACAATCCATTTTTTCCACTCTATTTCCCCTATTTTTGACCCCATTTTCCCTCTTTTTTAACACCATTTTCCACCCTTTTGACCCATTTCCCCTATTTTTCACCCCATTTCCCCTTTTTTTCACCCCATTTCCCCCTTTTCACCCCATTTCCCCCCTTTTCATCCCATTTCCCCCTTTCACCCCATTTCCCCCTTTTTCACCCCATCTCCCCCTTTTTCCAGCAAAAACAGGGTGACCCCCACTTTTCACCCCTTTCCCTCTTTTTCACCCCATTTATCCCTTTTTCTCCCTTCTCTCTTTTTCCCCCCTTTCCCCCATTTCACCCCCTTTCCCCATTTTTTACTCCTTTTCCCATTTCCACCCCATTTATCCCTTTCCTACCTCATCCCTTTTTCACCCCATTTCCCCCCTTTCACCCCATTTCCCCCTTTTTCACCCCTTTCTTCCTTTTTCCAGCAAAAACAGAGTGACCTTCACTTTCCAACCCCATTTTTCACCCCCTTTCCCCCTTTTTTCCCCCATTATTGATCTGCAGAGGCTGGAGCAGATCCTGACCACGGAGAGAGTAAAACCGGGGTGATCCCCACTATTCATCCCCCATTTTTACACTCCTCTTGTCCAATTTTCACCCTCTTTTCCCCCTTTTTTCCTCTCCCTTTTCCCCCTCTTCTACCCCATCTCTCCCTTCTTCCAGCAAAACCAGGGGTGATCTCCACTTTTCCACCCCATTTCCCACCCCATTCCCCCCTTATTTCCCCTCTACCAATCCCGCAGCAGCCGGAGCCTCCCAACCACGGAGACACCCCAACCCCCGATGCTCCCCCGCTTCCCAAATCCCCTTTTCCCCCCTTTTTCCCCCACCTGTTGACGCTGCAGAGGATGGACGAGAGCCCTGCCAGCAGATTTGCCACGGAGAGCCCGTTGGCGGCGTTTTTCCTCAGGAATTCCAGCACCCGCTCCCGTCCCTCCCTCTCGCTCAGCACCAGCTTTTTGGTGGCCTGGAAAACACCTACAAACCCCCCCCCCCGTGTTCCAACCAAAAGAGGGGCTTCAGCCCCCTCCCCCCCAAAAAAATAAACCAACTCCATGCCAGGGCTTCCCCCTCCTCGAACCAAAATCCCCCAAAAAGAAGCAGCGGGGGAGGAGGGGGGGGATTTTTATTTTTTTGGTGCTGCCCCCCCTCCCCAAAAAAAAACAATGGGAGAAAAGAGGCAAAAAAAAAAGAAAAAGCACAAAGAAACCGAGCAAAGAACGGCGAAAAAAATGAATGAAGTGAAGGAAATTAAGCCAAACCCAAGCTTAGACTAAAAGCCAACCCCGGTTTTAAGCTCTGTATGGATCTTAAATACCTATCAGGCTAAGCTTTAGGGAAAGAATTTAAGGGTCCTGTGCTGTGCCCCCCGCCTTTGCCGTGTCCCAAAGCCAGGAAGATCCTTCATCTGAAAGAAAACAGCACGTCAGAGCAAAACACCCCCCCCCCCCCGCCCCTCAGAGCCCCCTCAGAGACACTCAGAGCCTCTTAGAAACCCCTCAAAGCCCCCTCAGAGCCTCCTAAAGACCCCTCAGAGCTGCTTGGAGCCCCTCAGAGACCCTCAGAGCCCTCTCAGAGACCCCTCTAAGCCCCCTTAGAGTCCCCTCAGAGCCTCTTAAAGCCCCTCAGAGACCCCTCGGGCTCATCACCGGAATGATCCCAAAAACAGCTCCCCAGGTTTGGAAAGCAGGAAGGATTTGGGGGGTATGGAAAGCAGGAAGGATGGGGGGGGTTATCTGTAGGGTTGGGGGTCGGTGGCTCCGGAGCTGCTGCGGGACACGGGGCGACCTTTGGACACCGCACCCGGAGCTGCCGGCACCGGCTGAGCTGGAAAAATCCCTCCTGATCCACGGCTTTCCCGGAGCCAGGGAATTTGTTTTTTTGGTTTTTTTTTTTTTTGTGGGGGGAGGCCTCACTGGGCGCTGCCACCCCCTCACTTTTATCCCCGAATTCGGTGCTTTGTGGTCTTCAAAGTGGGGAAAACCCCGGCGAGTTTGGGGTTGCGGTGCCTCATCCCTGCCCTTCCCAGCCTCGGGAATGTTGCCGTGAGTGGCACAAACCCCCGGGCACTGCGGTGCCACCTGAACTTGCCCGTTCCTGGCGTTTCTCACCCCAGACTCCAAGTGCTGGGGAGGAAGGAAAGGAGGAGGGAGGGAATCCCTCCGCCCTGGCGCTGCTCCCGCTGCTTTTATTACCCCTTTTGGGGGAAAACGAGGTGATTTTGGCTTTCCCCGTGATCCCATATGTGCCACGGGGGGGTCCGTTGTGCCCCCAGGGCATCTCCTCCTTCCCCCGGGCACAGGGAAAAGGGGGAAGCGCAAAACCCACCGATGTTTTGGCGCCGATTCCCGTTTTTACCCTAATTTTACTACTAACCCCCCCAAAAAAGCTGATTTTTGGGGGCGGGGGGGAGGGGTGGGACACCTTGCCCAGGGGCCGAGCGGGGCGAGGGTGGCACTTACCGACCGGCGGGGACACCATCCACATGGCAGCGGTGGCAGCGGCGGCGGCGGCGGTGACGGTGACACCCCGGGGAGGGGAAACTGAGGCAGGGGCTGCTCCCTGGGCAGGGGCTGCTCCCGTGGGAGCCGCGGGAGCCGCCGCGTTATATAAGGAAAAGCCTCCCGGGCTGAGTCACCCGGCGGGGGTGGGTCCGGCCAGAGGCCACGGCCACGGCCACGGGGGGTTCGCAGCCGACTGGCACCACCGGCGAGGGAGGAGCTGCCCCGGGGGGCCGGGGGGCCACGCCAGGCTCCCGGCGCCCCTGCCAAGCTTCCCAGCGCCCCTGCCAGGCTCGCAGCGCCCCTGCCAGCCTGCCGGTGCCCACGCCAGGCTCGCGGCGCTGGTGCCAGCCCTGCAGCTCCGGTGCCAGGCTCACAAACACCCGTGCCAGGCTTGCAGTGCCCCGTGTCCAGCCACGGAGCTGGTGCCAGGCCCGCAGCACCCACAGCGGGGCCACTGCACCCACAGCATGGCCACTGCACCCACAGAACAGCCACAGCACCCACAGAACAGCCACAGCACCCACAGCATGCTCACAGCACCCACAGCATGGCCACAGCACCCACAGAACACTCACAGCACCCACAGCATGGCCACAGCACCTGTGTTGGGCTCACAGCACCCACAGAACACCCACAGCATGGCGACTGAACCCACAGAGCACCCACAGCGTGCCTACAGCACCTTTGTTGGGCTCACAGCATGCACAGCATGGCCACAGCACCTGTGTTGAGCTCACAGCACCCACTCCAGGCTCACACCACCCTCTCCAGGTGAGGACTACCCATGCCATGCTAACAGCACCTTTGCAAGCCTGGTAGCACTCTCAGCAGGCTCACAGAACCCACCCCACACTCCAGCACCCATCCCACCCCCAGGGCACCCATCCTACACTCCAGCACCCACCCCTCACTCATGGCTGGGCTCGCACAGCCCATCCCAAGATTGCACCACCCATACCTGGCTCACAACACCCATACCTGGCTCACAACACCCATACCTGGTTCACAGCACCCATATCCAGCTCACAGCACCCATACCTGGCTCACAGCACCCACACCACACTTTGTATCACCCAGGGCAGTCTCATACACCCATCCCACACTCCAGTACCCATCCCACACTACAGCACCCATCCCACACTCACACACCCAGCCCACACTCACAGCACCCGTGCCAGGCTCTCACCACCCCTGTCATGCTCACAGGACCTGTGCCAGGTCTGTACCATCTGTATCAGTCCCACAGCACCCATGCCATGCCCACGGGACCCACACCCTGCCCACAGCACCCACACCATGCCCACAGCACCTGTACCAGGCTTGTAGCACCTACACCAATCTCACGGCACCCACACCAGTCCTGTGACACCCACACCAGTCCCACGGCACCCACACCAGTCCTGTGACACCCACACCAGTCCCATGGCACCCACAGTCTGGCCACACCCAGTCCCTGCACTGCCCCCTCCGCTGCCCCGCGCCCAGGGGTGTCCTCACCCAACAGGCATCACCAACCAGTGCCATCCCACCACCAATCCCACCGGTGGCACCAAAGGGGCCACAGCTGGTGCCCCCCGCCCAGAACCCTGTGCTGGGTGTCACCCCCTGTCCCACATCCCCTGCTGGGTGTCACCCCGTGTCCCCCTTGCGTGGCTTCTGCTGGATGACCCCCACTTGTGCAAGGGCCGTCACGAGCCCGGGGGGTCTCGGGCTGAGCAAAGGGCCACGAGAGAGCCCGAGGGGCTGGGAGGGGGGCCCGGGGGGGCCGGGGCGGGCGCCGGGGCCACCGCCAGGGGACAAAGGTCCGCGGGGCCAGGGTGACGAGGGGCCCATAAACTTATACAGCCCCGTGCAGGAATTTTCCACCCGGATCCCGCCGGGAATCAGGGAGCGCTGCGGCACCCACGGCCGCCCGGGCTGGGTTGGGGACCACCCGTCGGGGGTCCCGGGGTGCTGGGCGGGGTTGGGTGCCCCGTGGGGGGGTCCCTGGGGTGCCGGTGGTGGCGGGGTTGCCGCTCAAAGGGCTCTTTGTTCCCGGTCACGCGCCGGTGGTGGCGGTTGCGGAGTGACGGGAGGGACGCGGGCACGGGCACCCGGCCCGGGGGCACCCGAGGGGGCCACACCGGGGCCTGAGGGCACCTCGGGGGGGGGCACAGCCCCGTGGGGGGGAGAGGACGTCACTGGTGCCATCGCTGTGGCATCGGGGCACGTGGGTGAGGCCCGTCCCTGTGTCCTCAGGGCACCCACGGCCGTGGCGTTCCTGTGTCCTGGGGTGCCTGTGGCACCAGGGTGGCCGTGCCCGTGGCTTCAGGACACGGTGGGGCGCTTGTCCCTGTGGTATCTGTGTGTCTGAGGGTGCCCATCCCCAGGGCATCAGGGCTGTGCAGCTTAAACCACCCCTGGGGTGTCTGGGTACATCTGGGTGCCCTCCCCATGGCATCTGGGCAACTGTGGGTGCCCTCCCTGGGGTGTCTGGGCACCTCTCAGTGTCCAATTCCACTCTATCTGGGTGTCTCTGGGTGCCCCTCCTGTGACACTGAGGTGTCTCTGGGTGCCCATCCCCCTGGTATCCGGGCACCTCTGGGTGTTCCCAGTGCCATCCCCAGCCCCAGTGCCCCCAGTGCCCCCCCAGCACAGGACACGGTGGTGCAGGGCCTGTGGTTTATTTGCCTGGTGCCAGGCCAGGCGGTCGGTGACGATGACGCTGCCACGCTCAGTTGTCCCTTATGGTCTGCAAGGGAGAGGCTGCTCAGGGTGGGGAACTCAACACCATCCTGGCACCCCAACACCCTGGCACCCCAAAACCCTGGCACCCCAACACCCAGACACCCCAACACTCCAGCACTATGGCACCCAGCACCCTGGCACCCCAATAAGCTGGCACCCCATTGCCCTGGCACCCCCAGTGCCCATCCCAGCATCCCAGGGTCCTGGCATGCTGACACCATGGCACCCTGGCACCCCTGAGCCTTGGCACCCCATTGCCCTGTCCCCCCAGCACCCCAGTGCCCCAGCTGACACTGTGGTACCCTGGCACTCGTGTCCCCTGGCACCCCAGAACCCAGCACCCTGGTACTCTGGCACCCAGAGCCCTTGTACCACGGTACCCTGACACTCTCCTGGCCCCCATGGCCCTGGCACCCTGGCACCTCGATATCCCAGTTCCCTGACACCCTGGCACTCTCACACCCTGGTATCCCAATTCCCTGGCACCCTGACAGCCTCACACCCTGGTATCCCAATTCCCTGGCACCCTGACAGCCTCACATCCTGGTATCCCAGTTCCCTGGCACCCTGGCACCCAACAGCCTGATACTCCAGTCCCTGGTCCCCTGACACACTGGTACCCCAGTACCACCATCCCTGGCACCCTGGCACCCCAATACCCCAGTTCCCTGGCACCAGTACCAGTAGGTGCCATGTGCCCACCTGTGCGATCCAGTCCTCGAAGGCGGACACCCTGGTGAACACAGTCGGCTTCTTCTCGGCGTTGCAGCCCAGGGCGGACACGAAGCTGGCGATGCCGTGGACCTCCCACGTGCCATCCTCGGCCTGGCAGTTCAGGGGGCCCCCCGAGTCGCCCTGGGGTGCACAGGGTGGGATTAGCACTGGGGGGGTCCCAAGCAGTCCCCCACCCCTTGCCATGCCACGCCATGCCATGTGTGCCACCCCGGTACCCACGTTGCACCCGGCCTTCTCGGCGCCGCCGGCACAGATCATGGTGTTGCGGATGGCCACGGGCCCCCACCAGTCGAGCTGGGTGCAGTGCTCGTGATCCACCACCGGCAGCTCCGCCTGCTGCAGCTTCTCCGGCAGCGGCCCCCCGGCTGTGGTGACACGGACAGGGGGTCCATCCCATGTCCATCTATTCATCCAACTTCCAACGTCCAGCATCCATCCATCCATCCATCCATCCAACATCCAACATCCATCCATCCATCCATCCATCCATCCATCCATCCATACATCCATCCAACATCCATCCAACATCCATCCATCCATCCAACATCCAACATCCATCCATCCATCCATCCAACATCCATCCATCCATCCAACATCCATCCAACATCCATCCAACATCCAACATCCATCCATCCATCCAACATCCAACATCCAATATCCATCCATCCAACTTCCATCCATCCATCCATCCATCCATCCATCTATCCATCCAGCCATCCATCATCCAACATCTAGCCATCCATTCATTGATCCACCATCCAGTCATCCTTCAAACCCTCCTTCTTTCCCTCCATCTCCCCATCCATCCCTCCATCCCTCCATGCCCCCCTTCCTCAGACATCCCACTC